CAAAGGAGCCACTGAGGAAGAGCCAGGAACTAGTGTGGGATGTGGGGGAGGAGGGTTGAATGATTCAAATATGCAATGGCATGAGGCTGAGATGGTCTGAAGTATTCCTTTCATAGTTGGCATATTACTCTCCATTCTGTAATCATCAGGTCTGAATACTGTGCTTCATATATTGTGTTAGGGGCAAGGGACATTTATTGTTCCTGCCTTAAAATAGCTTGGGAGCTTCTGTGAGAAAGTAACAAGTAAACAGAATTTGCATATTACCCTTTAATTATATAGGATAGAAGCCTGGTGTATGGGTGGGGGCTGGCTGGCTTGCCCTTAAGGGTATCCAGGATCAGGGTGGGGGTCCCTCTGGGGTGCCTGGCCAGTCTGGGTGGGGGTCCTCGCTGGGGTTCCTGGCCAGCCTGGGTAGTGGGCAGAGAGTTGTTTGCAGGCTGGCTGTGCCCCCCCAGCGGGAACCCTCATCCCATGAGGGTGTGGCCATCTTGGGTGAGGGGCTGATAGCTGTTTGCAGGCTGGCCATGGTCCCCAGCCACTCAAGCTCCCAGTGGAGGCTGGCTGGGAGCAGGCATCTGGGGTTTATTTATCTTCTATAATTGAAACTTTTTTGCCTTGAGCAGAGGCCACAGCCAGCCAGGGCAGGCAGGAAGCTTGGCTTCCTCCATCACCGGGGCAACCAAACCTCCTGCTTGCTCCAGCTCTGTGGCTGCCAGCTGCCATCTTGATTGGGTTAATTTGCATATTTGCATATAGTTGCTCTGATTGGCTGGTGGGTGTGGCTTGGGGCATAGTGGAGGTGTAATCAATTTGCATGTTTCTCTTTTATTAGATTAGATATTATTTGGTATCTGGTTTCTTTAACTAAACATAATATTTTTATGATTGTTCCACATTGTTGAGTATAGTTCATTTTATAAATATAACATAACTAGAGGCCTGGTGCATGAAATTCATGCACTTCGGGGGGGGGTCTCTCAGCCTGGATTGTGAGAGGGCACAGGCCAGGCCGAGGGAGTGCATGATCAGTGTCTGGGAGGGATGCAGAAGGTTGGCCAGCCGGGGAGGGACCACGGGAGGGCTCCAGGGCATTTCCGGCCCATTTCGCTCAATCCCGATTGGCCGGACCCCAGCAGCAAGCTAATCTACGAGTCAGAGCATCTGTCCCCTGGTGGTCAGTGCATGTCATCGTGACTGGTCAACTGGTCAACTGTCTGTCTCCTGGTGGTCAGTATACGTCATAGAGAGCTGTTGAGCAGCCTTAGCCTATCATTAGCATACTACGCTTTGATTGGTTGACCAGCTGACTGGACAATTGGATACTTAGCATATTAGGCTTTTATTATATAGGATATTTGTTCATTCTATATCTGATGGACATAGTGCTGCTATCATCTATAAAAGCCCAGTGACTGTTAGGGCAGAACAACCAGAACAACCAGAACGACTGGTGGCTATGACACGCACTGAGGTAGCCAACCAGCCTGATCTGGGCTATGATCACCCCCTCTCTCCCCCAGCTGGACCACCCCTACCCCCCATCGGGGCAGGCCAGCTGGACCCCACCTGTGCACCAGACGGCAAAGAGGACCTGCAGGCTGCCAGGAGCAACAGCGAAGGGTAGGCACATTCAAAAACAGAAAAACTTTAAATAAACAGACATGAAGATCATATTGGGAAACTGAGAGTAGAGGCCCGGGAAGAATGCAAAAATCATTAAAGGGCCATCATCCATCTTGTTATACGTTTGTAAACAACACATAAACAAATTCATCTCCTGGCACGTGAAATGCAAAACAGTTCTGTTGTGGGTATTCTTTTGGCCATCCTTAAAGTATAATTAGATCCAGCTGGAGGAAACTATAGCTTTCAACATTAGACCCCCTGGCCAGCCCCGCCCCCGATTGGCCCTCACTGGGGAGGGCTGGATAGACCCCACCTGTGCATGAATTTGTGCACTACAGTTCTAGTTCTTATATATATATCTCTTGGATTATATATGTAATGCATTTCTGTTAGGTAGGAGTGGATTTGGGTCATGGAAAATGCATATTTTCAATTGTAGTAGATAATAATGATTTTCCTAAGAGGCTGGACCATACTCCCAAGAGCACCATTAAAGAGTTCCTGTTGATCTGTAGACTTGCTAAAACTTGGAATTGTCAAACATCTGAATTTTAGACATGTGGAGGCTATTCTATGACTGTTCATGTCACTTTAGTTTCCATACTCCTGATTATAATGTCGTTGTGCACCTGTTTACATGTTTATTGACCATTTGGATATCCTCTTTCCAAAAATATTTTCTCCTGCCTATTTTTTCTATTAGGTTGTCTGTTTTTATCTTTTTTCTCATTGATTTCAAGGAGTTTCTTATATATTATCTTATGAGCCCTTTGACTATTATATATGTTTCAACTTTCAACTCTTTTTTCTTATCCTGTCATTTTCCTTTTAACTCCTTGGAGTTGTATTTAATAAACAGATATTCTTAATTTTAATGTTAATATGGGCCCATTTATCATACCGCTTTACCTTTATGATTAGTGCTGTTTCCTTTTTTGTTGTTTTTATTTTATTTACTTATTTGTTTATCATTTTTATTTTTCCAGTTTCATGGAGATATAGTTGGCATATAACATTGTGTAAGGTAAGGTGTGCAATGTTGTGACCTGATACCTTTATATATTATAAAATAATTGTGACCAGAGCATTTGTTAGCACATCTGTCCCATCACATGGAAACCCTTTCTTTTTTGTAGTGAGAACATTTAAGATCTACTCTCTTAACAACATTCAACTATATGATACAGTGTCACTAGCTTATAATCACTATGCTATACATCCAACCCCCAGAGCTTGTTAAATTAGTGCTTTATCTGTTATTAATCTTTCTTTTACTTCAGGTCACAAAGTTTAAGTGATTTATAATTTTCCCTACTTCTCTGAATTTTGCCTCCCATCTTTCACTTCTGTGCACTGAAACCACACATACATTTTTTGCCTCAATTCTGTTTTCTGGGGAAATCAGGCAAAGACAATGTATTTTGTCCTGAGCATACAGATATATTTTTTATTCTAGTCTGATTGTTTATGTTTTTAATTGGTGCTTTAGGCCTTCTATACTTAATGTAAGTATTAATATATTTAGGTGTTTTTTTTCCTGTTCTATATCTTTTTTTTTAAATTTTCTTATTGTCCTTGTTGGGTTATATTGTATAACAATTTAATTTGAAAGATAAACATCCTTTTGTTAAATTTTTAGTGATCCTTTTAGAAATTATAACATGCACCCTTGACTTACTAAAGTCTAATGTTGATTGATAATTTACCAACCATTTTTTTAAACAAAGTTAAAATCATAGAACATTTAATTTGTCAATCCACATGAATAATACATGCTATTATTGCTATGTATTTTATTTTAACTTATACAAGACATGATTATTATTGTTTTAACAATCAAATTTTCTTAGCTTGTATTCTTTCAAAAGTAGACTTTAGCCCTAACCCATTTGACTCAGTGGATAAAGTTTCGGCCTGTGGACTCAAGGGTCCCAGGTTTGATTCTGATCAAGGGCATGTACCATGGTTGTGGGCACATCTCCAGTAGAGGGTATGCAGGAGCAGTTGATCGATGTTTTTCTCTCTCACTGCTGTTTCTAACTCTCTATGCTTCTCCCTTCCTCTCTGTAAAAAATCAATAAAAAATACATATTTTTAAAAGTAGGCTTTAGACAAGAATTTGGGAATAGATTGTGTATAGGGGAGGTGGTCTCTGGAAGAATGATCCTATATAATAAAAGGGTAATATGCAAATTGACCCTAACAGCAGAATGACTGGGAATGACTGGTCACTATGACACACACTGACCACCAGGGGGCAGACGCTCAATGCAGGAGTGTCTGTGGTCAGTGCGCTCCCACAGGGAGAGTTCTGCTCAGCCACAAGCCAGGCAGGTGGCTGCCAGTACAGCGGTGGTGGTGGGAGCCTCTCCTGCCTCCTCAGCAGCACTAAGGATGTCTGACTACAGCTTAGGCCTGCTCCCTGCTGGCAAGTGGACATCCCCCAAGGGCTCCTGGGCTGCCAGAGGTATGTCTGACTGCCAGCTTAGGCCCAATCCCCCGGGGAGAGGGCCTAAGCCTGCAGGTGGTCATCCCCTGACGGGTCCCAGACTGTGAGAGGCCACAGGCCGGGCTGAGGGACCACCCCAGTGCACAAATTTTTGTGCACTGGGCCTCTAGTAGGAAATAAGAAAAGGAAGGGAGAGAAGTTCATAAAGTTAATAAATATGCATCAATGAGTATGTTACTATACTGGGCAACTATAGATCAATATTGTTCTACAAAGAAACCATGTGAAACATATCTCAGAATCATCCCATGATTCTGGGCTACTTAGCGACTAGCAACCATCATTTATTGTTTGAGAGTTGTCCCTGGGGTGTTGATTCTCCCATACTTCCAGGTTGTTATCTGCTTGTAGATGAGTGAGCTTTCAAGGTGCTAGAGAAAGCCTTTAGGTAGAGAAAAAAAGAGAACAAGGGACTTGCAAAGGGAATTTTTCAGCATGCTGGAAACTGTCTTTTATTGCTGTTGCTATGGGGAAATGGACTGGAGAATCAACAGTGTCTTCTACAAAACATCCATTATGTTACCAGATACATCCACTCTCCATGTGTTCTTTTCCACTGTGTTTTTAATGCTTCAGGGTGGTGGCTGGTCACAATTAAAAAAACAAAATAAACAAAATTTGCTATCATAAGTCTTTCAAGGGAGTGTTAGTGGAATAAGTCAGAGTTCCCAGTGATGCTGATCTAGATCCAAGGAAATGCGCCCATGTGTTGTCTCCATCCCTGATACCATGGTCACTCTATTTGTAAGCCAATTGTGCTAGAACTCGGGTGGCTAAGGACAAAGGCTGGTTTAGCTCTACTGGATGAGTTAGCTTGTTCTTCAGGATATTCAATGGCTCCTCTACTATAGATGCTCTCTGGCGAGCATGAATGTGAGGCAAAATCTTCACAATTTGTCCCTACTTTCATAGGTCTTCCCACTTGCTTCTTCCAGAGACATCCTTGTCTTTCATCCTCTAAAGGTCTACAATGATCTATCTTCTATTTTCTTTTCTCTTTTGTAATGACTATACTGGTTCTTTGAATGGAGACATGACAGGGAGCAATATTTCTACATCATTTGAGTCTGAGGCTAACAGCAATATCTAAAATTCCAAATAGAATGTGGGATGGCTTTTGATTTACTATATTGGCTATTGGGTAAAGTGTCATGGGCTTCGCTTGGTCCTTTCCACTCTGATGGCTGTTACTCCACAGGTAAGAGAGATATTGGGAGGGTTCTGGCAGTCGCTAAATATATCCATTCTGATTATGCACTCAGAACATGGGGGAATCACCAGGAGTGTATCCATAGTCTCTTTGAATCAATTATACTCCATCTGATAGAAGGGTAATTATAGCATTTTATATTCCCTGGTACCAGTGTCAGCTCTGATTCTATATCCAGTAATTTTCAAAAGATATGGGTATTCCTTTTATCCTGGAAAATGGCACTAAGTCCCTTTGGGGCATAATGTAACTCACATTATGTAATCTTGTTTTGGCACTGTGAGTTTCTTTCTCAAAGGAACCTGACCTTTTTTCAATTGGCTGAGAATTGATTCAGAACCAGAGCCAGGAAAGGAATCATTATTTTCCAATAAGATGGTTAACACTGGGATTTTCTCATCATCTCTTATGTTTATATAGATGGAGCAGCACTCTCATTGGTTGTCCATCTATCTTGCCTCTAGAAATAGGATGGTCTATTAACCATTGCCACAGATTCTAATGGTCCAGGGCCCCTGATTGTCAGCCTGGCCTTGCTGCCTATTACAGTGATTATATCTCGGTTGCCTCTAATTATTGAGTGCTGAAACATGGTCTTTGCTATTCTGAAATCATATCATCCGTATTGACAATGGAGATTCCCATGAAGCATCTATGACTTCTGGCTCACAGAAAACAACCCCTCTCAGTACGATGCCTCAATGAAGAGGGAGGGTCCTTCAGTCCTTCCTGTGGACATAGTCAACTGCTACATTCTCTGCTATCATATAATTCATCTACTGTAATCTTTCTACTTCTTTGAAACTCCCGCTCTTTCCTCAATATTCTCCTAAGAAAGCCTGGCACAGTGGATCTAAACTTTATTATGAACTGGATCAGTTTTTTAAAAAAACTCTGGTTAACACATGTAAACACTTCCAAATTAATTAAAAAATTGTTGATAGTAATGTTCACCTTTCTTATATATATGATATATTTCTGTCTTTTAAAATAAAAGACACTTGCATGCTTACTGATATATGCTCCAATAATTACTCAAAGACCTAAAAAACATGTTGGTATATCCCTTGTCTCTATTTTATATCATCATTCCTCAATCAAGGTTTTTATTTTTTTTAATCCATTCATTCCCTCTCTTTCTTGTCCTTAAATACAGATTTTCTTAAAAAAAAAATCCTTTGAACGAGAATGCAATCAGCCTACATTAAAGTAGGAGAGTCATTAACAAAAACAATAGAGGCTGTTGACCCAACATATGAGATGGCAGTGAGGGTGATCCAAAGAAGTGGTGATAGCATTGGTACTCCCACTGCTCAAGTCCACCTTCTTGATTACCTATTCAGGGCAACATGACTGAGAAGGTGGAACAGGCTACAAGAACATCTTTAGTGATAATGATTTTAAAAAGCAACTATACTTTCTCTTTTCTTTCCAATATTGTGATATTTGCCTGCTTCTTTTCTGTAGCATGGGAATGCACCACTGAAATAATCCGCGGAGGGACTGCAGTTGCTGCTCTTTTGGATTCACCATATTTGTGTCAGGACTATGATTCTTGAAGAATGTTCCCAGCCAATGACTGAACATGGCAAGAGTACAAATGGAGGATAATTCTGGCAAGATGTGGGACTCTTCCAATGGGTAACTTTGCCTAGGACTAAGCCACAGTCCAAGACTCTTCCAGCCCAATTCTTTTTCTCTTTATCCTTTATTAGATATCAGACTCACATCATAGTTAGAAGGCTCACTTCGTTTTCTGCTTCTTTCTCTAATACATTTTCTGTACATTGTATTAGTTATCTATTAGTGTATAACATATTCCCAAAATTAATGTCTAATAACAGCAACAGCATACATTTAATAACTCACAGCTATTGTAGGTCAGAAATATGGGCATGACTTAGCCAGATCTTTTGCTTCAGGGTCTCCCATCTGGTTGCAATCAAATGCCAGCTTCAGGGTCTCATCTGAAGCTCAACTGCAGAAGGATCTGCCTGGTTTGGTTTCTGTGAACTGTTCTACTGAGGACCTCAGTTCTTGGCTGACTGTTGGCTGGAGGCTGGAGGCCTCCCTTAGTCCTTTGCCACAAAGGTGTTCCCACCATGATGGGAGAGAGAGAGAGAGAGAGAGAGAGAGAGAGAGAGAGAGAGAGAGAGAGAGACTCAGGGAGATGGAAGTCATATTTTACTGCTTTATTATTTATTTATTTAAAAGCAAGTCACTTAGGTAGCTGCCTACCATATACATCTAATGCTATCTTAAAACATTTTTTTAAAATTTATTGATTGTTTTAGAGAGAGGGAGGGAGGGAGGAAAAAGGAGGAGGAGAGATTTGTTGCTCCACTCATCTATGCATCTACCACTGGTTGATTTTCACTTGTGTCCTGACCAGGGTTCAAACCTGCAAACCTGGCATATCCAGATCACACTCCAACCAACTGAGCTACATGGCCAGGGACTCTAATATCACCTTGATGAATGCGCCTCGGAGGACTCATGTTACTCAGAGGACCAAAACTCACACATCTCTAAAAAATTCTAAAGAACAGCTTTCCTTATTAGAATATTTGATTTTAACAAGGGGGTATTCTCTCATAAAAAATGAAATTGTTTTGTTGTTATTGCTATTTTAATATGTCCGAATAAAGGGGATTTATGCATTATAAATTAATATATTTTGTTTCATAAGTGACTGCAAATGGAGTGGAACTCAAACTGAAACCACTGTAGGCAGGAAGGATACTATTTCTTTGGTTAGGGCAGGTTTATAGGCATATACTTTTTCTTTCTGCAAATAAGATGATTTGTTTCACATCAGTTACTCAAACAAATGTATCAGAACGATCCCTACCACTGACAGCAAATTCTTCAAGATCAGTGCATGGGAATGTGGGTTGGTGGGGTTAAAAGACTGTAAAAAGAAGTAAAAAGATGCCAGGTACTTCATTTGTCATGACAGAGTGCAATGTTATTTAACTAGCAACACTTAGTTTGAATCCCTCACTACCAAATTAACAGGGAATTGTTTTTATTTGGGAGAAAATACAATGTTATAAGAGGCAGATAGAAAGTACAAAAATATTATTGTAGATTTTACAAGGAGGAACACCAAGATGTATAGCACCAAAGTCATTTCTTCTCTTCTAATAAACATGTGAATAGTAGAATAGAGACCAAGTTTATGCTCCAGCCCCATTGACCAATCAACTGTTCTTTCTACTACAATGCATCTATTTTAGGTCTCAGAATTACCCGAGAGAATTTTAAATTGGCCAGGTTTCAGAGAAAAGGGACCGATGTATCAAAGGAGCAAAAGCTCTGTGGGAAAGTAAGAGCTAAATAAGAAAATCTAGATTATAATTCAGAGATTTTTTTTTAAGCTTTGTCTGAAATAGGAAAGGAATGAAAAACTGAAATTGGGAAAAGATAAATTCAGACTGACTCTCCAATCCAAGGCAGGGAGTTGAGGATTATTAAAGGAAATAGTGAAAGTTCATTATATGAGACAATGAAAACCTAGACCAGCTGTGGTGTTCCAGAATGCACCCAGAGTAATCCTATCTGGGCTCCAGGGAGTAGCCTGACCTGGGTAGCAATTTCCAGCTTTAACTTAGAATCTCTATTATTGCATTAGTTTTTGTGGGTTGGCTCCAGGCACAAAATAGTTTACAATGGTGACTGTCTGTTATTTCCTGTAGTTGAAGCCATATTTCTAGGGGCTGCCTTGTGTCCAGGGCTGCTAAAATCCTTTACCTGCTTCATGGCTCTGGGGAATTGAATAGACATTTTCACGCTGCAGTATGGACAGCTTACAAAATAAAAAGTTTGCAATGGGATATATGGCGTTCATGCCAAGAATATTCATCACTCCTCGTTACCTGTGGGTTCAGGCTGATGCAGGAATGTCCTTGTTTAGAAACTCTTCCAAGTGACCAAAAAACCCCCAAAACTTCATAGAGGCTATAGTCTTTTTTATGAAGTGAAAGATTTAGTGCTACAGTGATAGGGAACCAGCTTCTGAGTTTGAATGGAAGTTTTGGTCAGCAGTGTATATAAGTGATAGATGAGAGTTGGGATTACTTTCCTTTCACGAGGGTTTATGCAGCCCATTTATTATTATTGTGCAAGAATTTTCCTCTATTTTTTTGGAGTTTGAACTCAAGCCTCAGTTCCTTAGAGATCTATTTTGCTCTACTTCATAGTAGACCAGCCTGGGTTCCAGGTGTGTGAACTGCTGTTGGTCTTGTGGCTCAAGGCAGCTGGAGCCCCTGGGGCTCTCACCTTGGGCTGAAGATGACTTGTCCATTTATCTCAGTGCCTGCCACATAACCATTATCACATAAGCCTACCATGCCACAGAGAACCTGGGAAGTCCTGCTGTTTTCTTTGTGTAACCCTCTAGATCACTTTGATGCCTTGAATCATGCAAAGAGAGGTCAAGGGTCATATATGTCATGCTTCCCTTTATTGACTACTTCCCACTATCTGCTTCCTTCCAACTAGAATTCCCCTTGCATCTTCCTATTCATAAAAATATGTATGTCCACTTCTCAATTCTGAACATTTCTAATGATAATGTCTCCAGTTTAACTTTATTTCAAAAGCTCTTCTTTAGCCAAAATGACTTACATCTCTTTTTAGGAGATATTAGGAAAATAAAATGCTGGATGGGAAATACTGAGCTTTAGCTAGACTTGCTATTGGGTAAATAACCTAACCTCTCTGGACCTCATCTGTGAAAAACCAAAAAGTTGATGATCTCCAATGTCTTTTCAAGTGTTATGAATCTATGGAAACTGTCAATTTAGTCATGCTACTGGTTATTACTATTCTTCTAAATGATTCATGATCATATAACATATGAAAACATGTAAATATTAAAATAAATATTTCCATTGAAGACGATGTGAGGATTCATGTATTCAACACTTGATTAGATATTTCATCTTAGGCACTGTGCTTGTGCTGAGAATGCAAAGGTGACTAACTCGTAGCCCAAGACCCTAAGCAGTTTATGTTCTAGTGGTGACATATAATAATCAGAGTTTTGTTCTGCAGGTGAGACTGATGATGGAAATGATGTCTACATTCAAGCTGCTCGCCAAGGCAGGGGTGGAAACAACCTTCAGAGGTGCTTTTGGTCTAACAAAGGGTCATGAGGAAAACAAAGGTGTGGGGGCTGCTTCTTGACTCAGCTGGTTCCACATGCACACCCTTCTGCTGCCACAGTTCACGCCCTCTCTTTACCCAGGGATTAGGATGCACCTGATCATACAGCACCTTGGTGCCAGCCTTTGTCCTGTAGTTAGGAAAGACACCCTCTGGGTGCGAAAGGTGAGTTAACATTTTAATTTTTATGTATGAAAGTTCACTTTGTACCAAACATTGGTGTACAAAAGTCACAGATCATAGATGGCCTGTACTTGCCATCTGTCATTTGGGATATATAATCTATAATAATAAAAGTGTAATATACATTGGACCTCTAGTTTATATATAATTTATCTTTATTGTTGAAATTATTATAGATGCTCCCTCCCCCCCCATTCACCCCCTCCACTCCACTCTCATCCCCCCCAAAGGCCTTTACCACACTATTATCTGTGTCCATGAGTTATGCATCGCATATATGCATTTAAATTCTTTAATTAACCTCTTCCTACCCACCTCTGACTGGCTTATTTCACTTGGCATAATACTCTGTAGGTCCCTCCATGCTGTCTCAAAGAGTAGGAGATCCTTCTTTTTTATAGCTGCATAGTATTCTATTATATAAATGTACCACCGTTGTTTGTTTGTTTTTTAATCCATTAATCTACTGATGGGCACTTGGGCTGTTTCCAGATCTTAAGCCTTTGTAAATAATGCTGCTAAGAACAGTAGGGTACATATATTCTTTCTGATTGGTGTTCAAACTTCTTAGGATATATTTCTAGAAGTGGGATCACTGGGTCAGAAGGTAGCTCCATTTTTAATTTGTTGAGGAAACTCTATATTGTTTTCCACAGTGGCTGTACCAGTCTGCATTCCTACCAGCAGTGCACAAGGGTGCCTTTTTCTCCATCCTCACCAGTGCTTGCTGTTTGTTGATTTCTTGATGGTAGCCATTCTGGCAGGTGTGAGGTGGTATCTTATTATCATTTTAATTTGCATCTCCCTGATAATTGAGTATTTTTTTTTATATGTCTATTGGCCATTTGTATGTCCTTTTTGGAGAGGTGTCTATTTAGGTCCTCTGCCCATTTTTTAATTGGGTTGTTTGTCTTCCTTTTGTTGAGTTGTTTGGGTACTTTACATAATTTGGGAAATAACCCCTTCCTTATCAGATTTATCATTGGCAAATATGTTCTCCCATACTGTGGCTTCCCTTTTCATTTTGAAACTAGTTTCTTTTTCTGTGCAGAAGCTTTTTAGTTTGATGTGGTATTCTTTATTTATTGTTTCCTTTGTTTCTCTTGCCTTAGGCAATGCATCTGTGAAAATTCTGCTACATGAGATGTCTGATCAATTTTGCTGCCTACATTTTTTTCTAGGATTTAAAAGAATATTTTTGTTGATTTCAGAGAAGAAGGGAAAGGCCCTTTACACAGTTATATTTTTTTGACCTTTCAACTTCTC